TTTGGCATTTTTAGTAGAGATGGGGTTTCACCATGTTAGCCAGGATGGTCTCAATCTCCTGACCTTGTGATCCGCCCGTCTCGGCCTCCCATAGTGCTGGGATTACAGGCGTGAGCCACCGTGCCCGGCCTGTTTTCAGTTCTTAGAGTATATACCCAGAAGTGAGAATTACTGGATCATATGGTAATCCTGTTTTTAATTGTTTGAGGAATTGCCATACTGTTTTGCACAGTAGCTGTGCAATTTTACATTCCCAGCAATCCTTGGCTTAATTTTACCTGGGGGCAGGTGCCAGGAGTTTATATTAGCTGTTCTGGTACATATGAAAACGCAGCATTCCTTCTTTCAGTGTTTTAATGAGTGTGCATTAAGCACTTACTCCGTGTTTGGCATGGGGGATTCAGTAATGAGCCAGAATAGCACAGCCCCCACCTTGACAAAGCTAAGAGAGCAGTGAGGGAGGCAGACATCAATCAGGAAATCATAGAAATAGATGTTTAATGACCACACTGATCTGTGCTGTGAAGGGGCGGTGCACAGTGCTATGAGAGTAAATGACAGGAGGATGTGTCCTGAAGGTCAAGGTGAGCAAGGCACCAGGTGCCTTTCAAAACACTTTCAAGAAAAGATAGTGAGGCCAGGCGCAGTGGATCACACCCGTAATCCCAGCACTTTGGGAGCCTGAGGAGGCAGGCGAATCACCTGAAGTCAGAAGTTCAAGACCAGCCTGGCCAACCTGGTGAAACCCCATTTCTACTAAAAATACAAAAATTAGCCAGGCGTGGTGGCATGCACCTGTAGTCCCCACTACTTGGGAGTCTGAGGCATGGGAATCGCTTGGACCCAGAAGATAGAGGATGCAGTGAGCCAAGATTGCGCCACTGTGCTCCAGTCTGGGTAACAGAGTGAGACTCCGTCCAAAAAAAAAAAAAAAAATATAGTGACACTGGGCCGGACAGCCTCCTGGAATCCTCTCTTCTCTGTTCCAATCTGGACCAGTTGCTCACCAGGCCTGCTGCACAGCTGTTCCGGAATTTCTATTTACCTGCGTCTTCATTATGCCTTTTGCCTCTCTCCTTGGTGGGATTCCCTGTTCCACAGATCGCTTGTCTTTTCATTAGTTTCACCTCAGTCTCCTGAGTAGAGTCAGGGTTTTGCCACCTTGCCCAGGCTTGTCTTGAACTCCTGGGCTCAGGCGATCTGCCTGCTTCAGCCTCCCAAAGTGCTAGGATTACAGATGTGAGCCACCATACCCGACCTCAATTTCTTGAGACCTTTTGTGCTTAAAGAACTTTTATTCTAGCCGGGCGCGGTGGCTCAAGCCTGTAATCCCAGCACTTTGGGAGGCCGAGATGGGCGGATCACGAGGTCAGGAGATCAAGACCATCCTGGCTA